ATCCTTGATGTTTGCACAGCAAAAGCTTGTAAGTAACAAAACAACAAAAAAGGACAAGCGAAAATGCATCCGGCAATTATGAATGAAAAGGGCAAAACTGCGACAAGCAACAAGAGAGGTGCCAGGAAACATTACAAAGCTCAGCGGAGACGGAAATTATGCACACAGTATAACTGAGTGTGCGTGTGTGTGTGTGTATGTGTGACCGAAACTTAAATGTTGCGACTGAAAAGGCTTAAAGTTCGACGCCATATTATGTAACGCTCTCTGTCTCTTTCTGGCATTTCTCGCACTCTTCGTGCTCACGCCAGGTTTTACGACCTCGCTTAAGTGCATAGCCTTCAAAATGGTTGTGGTAGCAGACGCGTGCAAGGACATTGGATCTCGCTTTCGATGCTTTGGCAGGCAACATTCATTACTCAACACTGTCGAGACATTAATACAGGCACACGTACACACATTCGCACAGCTTAAAGTTCGTCGCACATTTATTTCCGTAAAAAACGGCAGCTACAACTACAGCTACAGTGGGTGTGGCAGTAAAATAATATTAATAATATAAATATAAATAATAGTTAAATAACTCCGAGAACTTTAAATGCCCAACAAAATTTACTAATAAGGAAAAGCCATTCAATCAATTCCGATTGTTGATTAATTGTTAATTCAATTTAATTTAAGTTTGAATTTCATTTTGGTGACAAGATCAACAAATATCGATAAAATTAGGCATTCAAGTAGATAATCACACATGGTAAAAAATTTATTTTTTTTCACAAAATTGAAACGATTTAAAAGAATTAATTTGAAATTGACACTGCTTGCAAAATACGTACATAAATGTAATCTTTATACGTAAGTGATAATACACGCCGGAATATATTTATACACAAATATCGGAACTCTTACCATAGTCCGGCTCGTAATGCATTGCGCTTCAAGTACGAGCATTAAATGTGCCAGGGTACCCGCCCTCCGCCTTTGCAGACTGCGACTGCTGCTCATTTTACAGTTTGCATACAACGAATGCAACGAGAGCATAACATTGTTGGCAACAAAAGCATCAGAAGCTGGTCGACGAAAATGTTGGCTGGGGTTGGGTTTTTGGCAGCAACAGACAACGAGAAAATGCCGGGGAATTAACTACAAAAAGTGCTCATAAAAATAATCATTGCGATTTGTATACACATGATGAGACTTGGGACCCACATATATATAATTATACCCTGAACCCATTAAAAATGGGTAAAAAAGGGTATTAATGTATTTCTGCATTTCTGACCCCATAAAGTATATATATTCTTGGTCCGTCTGTCCGTCCGTATGTATGAACGCAAAAGTCTCGTAACCTTTATGATCTAGATATCCTAATTTGCAACGCAGGTCCTCCTAGAGCCCCTGCAGGATAATAATCTGATAATCGATAAATTGTCCGCTTTCCAAGTAATCGATTAAAATCGATATCGATTACTAGAGTCACCAAACTTGACATGTAGCTTCTAGACTGTTATATAAGTATCATTTTATAGTTAATGAAATGAAAATCAAAGAGGTTTCAGTGTATCCCCTAGTCGGGAACTTCTCACTTGAGCCTCTTACATGTTTTATTTCTATGTATCAAAACTTTTAAAAGTTTGTATGTCTGTACGTACATGTTTTGTACAAACACCAGCATGTCATTCCTGCTTAACTGCATTGCAAGGATATGCCAAATGCATACGTCAATGAATTATTGGGTAGGCAAGACATAAAAAGAATCTTGGGCTCAAATGATTGCATACTTTCAGGCTGTCCATGAAAAGTGCCCAACGATTTTACGACTCTTCCTGTTCGTGTAAGTCGGTCTACTATCGGTTCCATTGTTCTCGTAATTTAAATTGTTTCTTGTGCCACTGCAATACTGAAATGAATAATTCATTTAGGGCTTTGGTTATTTGAGAGGGTGCATGACAAATGCAACTTGACATTGGACTTGGTGAATGGCAACTAGAGTTTTTCAAGGTTTGTCGACGATGTTGGAGGCTTGGTAAATCCTGTTGAATTTTTGTACAGATTTGAGCCTGAATGCGGTTGCAAAAGGCTTTATGTAAATATGTGAAAATTATATATTTTATATATATTGTATGCGAAAGATAATATGATGAGTAACACCTATCCTATTCTATTTTTACTTGCAGGTTCGTTGCCTACTTCTCAATACCAAATCTACTTACCAATAATAAACAAATTATAAACTACAGAAAAAACACACACACAACTCAACAACAACAACAATAAACACACTCTGCGATCAACACTGGCCTGGTCCAATAGCAACAATAAAACAAATAATAATGACAATTGCAGATAAAAAAAAACACACACAGACACAAATACAAAATACAAGAATATGCATATTGCTAATTAAATTATGAATACGCAAAACTAATTAAACCACAATGCTCGTATAACAGCTATGCCCACACATATATATGTTACATATGCCCGCCCAGCTATGCCAATAGATATACTTAGCCTCCTAGATGTATGTCAATATTTGTGCAATAGTTAAGAGCAAAGAAAATGCCTAAAACACAAGAACTGGAATATCAATATCAATATCAATAGCAATATGAATATCAAATGTCTAATATATAGATTGTTTACCCTCTTGCAAATGTCTGCTGTTTACTAAACTTTTTAATACTCGTAATACCCATAACAATATTGTTTTATGAATGTATATAAATTTCGAACTACTTGTATGTGCCTTGTAAAGCGACTGATAAGCCCGACTATCTGTATAGTTTAGTCTGCTCAAAAACCAACTAGATATATGTATATCTAGCTAAAGAGATATATGTATGCGTGTGTGTAATGCAGTCAAGTCCAACGACGCGTTGATCGTATTCGTACGATTTTCATTATAAAAATTTGGAAACATTTAGGAAACCACAGAGCCATTGGATATGATGCGTAACACGGGCCAACTATGTGCGTTTTTCTTTGCTACTAATAAAAATCTAGAAACCACGCTGCTTTCTGCTTTCTAAATAACAAGAAATCATTCATAAGATTTATGAATACAAAAAGTGCATGCTGCTTGAGAACGCTTGAAAACTCGCATTTACTGGACTCATTTTTAATTTATTTCAACTCTATGCTACTCTTCTGCTTATACTTAGAATAGCTGCTGGAGATCTGTGCAGATCCTACTTGAAATTTAACTTTATCTCTTTTTCACAAAGCAACCAATACAACAACTATACTTTATATATAATATACACTACATATATACTTACTTTAACTGTACACAAGACACGCCAAAACGCACTCTCTACTCGTTCACAGAATCTAAAATATTTTGTTGTGAATTTCGCGTATTGAAACATAATTTTATTCTACTCAGTGCAATATCTACACATATATGAATTGAATAAGTTTTCTTATTATCTTATTTGTTCAACTAATTTTTCTGGTATATGCCTATCCCCCCGAATAGCAAACTTTTACACAACATTTTTGGCTCTATGTGCAATTAATAAATAAACTCACCAACTAAGAAAAAATAACTACAAATTAACTGCAAGCTCAGCTCGCTCGTTTTCTTCATCTACAAAAAATTTAACCACAAAAAAAAAAAAAACAAAAAAATAAAAAGAAATACAAATTTAATTAATAAACTTTCAATAATTGGCTGCGATTGAACTAATTATTTTATGCTTCTAATTATTTTATGCAAATTTTCGTTGAACCAAATTAATCAACTGAACTGAAACCAAACCAAAAATTTCCAATTAAATTAAATAATGTCACGCGAAAACTCACCACGTCACGGCTCGATCCGGCGTCATTTGAACAACAGAGACTCGCCAGCGGGCTCGCCGGGCTCCCCACATCCATCGAACCATCCTCATTATCACCATCAGCAACAGCCACCGATAATGGAGCATGCCGGCGCACCCATATCCACGTCCGCATCGAATATCGCCACAGTGCTGGAGGATGGAGAGAATACGATTTTGCCGCCATTGAGCGGATCCGGACCAAGTCGACAGCGTTCGTTGCGCGATCGGCTCAAGGATGGTATCACCGGCAGCTTCTCCTGGCAGTAAGTCCTGCTTTCAAGTATTTCTTAAAAGCTTTTCCAAATTCCAATTTTTTTTTAGTCTCGTGTTAAGTTTAATTTGTTTTGCCATATTCGAAATTACAATTTTTTAAGTAGTGTTCGTTTTTATTGAACATTTTTTTTTTGGAAAAATTGTATTTAAAAGTTTTTATAGTTTTTGAATTCTTGTATTTGCGTAAAGTTAACTATTCTTAATTAAGACAAACGACTCTCACTAATAATTCGAAGCAGCACGCAGAAAATTTAATTTTATACCAACTCTTATATAAAAACACAATTTTGAGCTCCCACAAACTAGTTGCACACAGTTAGGATCTCACTTTGATGATAACTTAATGCAAATTCAGCACATACTTAAATGCACAGCACATGAAATGAAACATTTAAAGCATTTAGGAACTAATCCTGAACTGAACTTAGTTTTGAGGTGACCTCAGGGTAAGTGGAAAATTATTAAGGATTATTAGAAGTTGTATATTATAAGTCACACGTTAATTTCTGCATATTTTTTAAGATTAATAACATTATAATATTAACTGATCCTATAAAAAAAAACATTCTAACAACAAAAATAAATATATATATGTATATTGAAGAACTTTAGTTTTTCAAACGAATTCGTGATTCGAAGGCGAAAACGAAAGCGGGAACACGAATTCTTGTCGAAGCTAAGCAGAGTTCAACTAATTGGAACATTTTTAAGGATTATTAAGGATATGTATATTTTGTAAGATTAATAATATAATAATTTATTAGTCACAACAAAAATAAATACATATAGAACTTCTTCAATCTAATAATAATAATAATATATATATATATATATATATATATATATATATATATATATATATATATATATATATATATATGCATGTAAAACTAAAGTTCTTCAATTTTATAAAATAAATATATTTATAATTTTTGTTACATACCAAATTAAGATAAAAGAACCTAAGTTCTGGGCCGAAATTATTAACATGGAATCTGTTACTGAATTCGCGAATCGAAGGCGAATACGAAAACGGGAACACGAATTGTTGTCGAAGCGAAGCAGAAATCAACTCGAAATCAGGCAGGCGAATACACAACAAGCAATTGTGCAATATAAATGGTAACAGACAGTTGAATCATTGGCCATAAATCAATTCAATTTGACACTTTAATTTCGCATATCTTTCGTCCTTCAGACGCCCACATATAAAATGGCCTGAATCCAGCTGCTAAAATATAAATGTCAGATAAATGTTAACTCTTCGCAACTGATTCTCTTGCCATAAAAATGTGTACAAATATGCCAAGATTAAGTGAAATTAATGCTGGCTTATTTTTTGTTGTGATTTTCTCGTTCTGCTACCAAATGACTTTCACTTCGGGTTTCAGTCTTTGCATTAGACCTGTCGTTAAATGCCTTTCATTATCATCGTTATAGAACTCTGGCGATGCTCTGTAAATGTGGCTCGCTTGTCGTAATGGGTTCGATATGTAATGGGAATGGAATCTGCTTTTTTATTATTTTCTCAGTCATCAAAACCAGTTTTCACTGATATGCATCAGGACTTTGCATCTGCTCTTGAGTCGGCTGCTTCCTGGCTTGGCCAGGTGATTTATAACCTTGAAACCTTTTAAAGTTTGGCCTTGATCGCCGGTTTTTATATTTTTTCCCCCCCCTTTTTTGGTAGTTGCTTCTTATGGCTGCCTTTGCGAAGTGCATCTTTAAAGGCGAAGCCTTTCAACTGGTTTGGCCACATTCTGTACTCAAGTATTTGGGCATTGTGTATATACATAATAATTCGGAATACAGTGTAGCTAGTCTTCCTGAATTTCGACGGACAAACCTTGATTAAGCTTAACTGATAATTATTGTTAATTATTCCCAACCCTCATACATATGCATAATGGGTGCCCACAAGCAATTAATCTGTCGAATTGTGAATTGATATAAACAAAGCCATAAAAATGCGACAACTCAATATGAAGGTAATACCCGAAAATTCCGACAAACCGACAAGCCCCTCCAAAGTTGGGTGGTTTTTATGCAAATATGCTGTGTGTATATTTTTAATAGAGTCGATAATTTTAAGATGCGACCCTAAGCATGCCGAGCACGTCTTGAACGCCGTTCGCCGGGGCCATATTGATGAGCCGATGATAATGCCAGTTGATGTGTGGCCGTTCGCTAATCCTTTGGCCCATTCTGCATGGTAAAGCGTTTGTTTTGCTATTACCCACACTCGCACACGCACACACTCACACGCACGCCGTTAGCGACTGTAAATAGCTGTTGACCATGAAACGATGCACATTATGGCCGTCATCAGCACTACCCCAGTGCTGCCTGTCGAGCCACGTCCTCTGCTCCCCCAAACGCTAAATATCCGCCAAGTTAAGTGTGCGTGTGTGTGTGTGTGTGTGTGTGCATTTCATGTTTGACTTTCACTTGCAGCTGTGATGTGCTCTACTGCGGCTAGCGATGTCAGCACAACAATGACAACAATAACAAGTCAGAGCATTCTATGGCAGCGTGCACGACGAGCAGATACCCTGCAGTCTCTCGCACTCACTCAGCGCCCTCTCTCCCACTCTACCACTCTTTCTCCAATCATCGCTGAGTACTAGTGCTGGAAAACAATATAATATATCGATATAATTAATGTGTAGAAAACTATCGATTTATTTTGGAATCCTTAATGTTCTCGATGTTTTGCCAGCTCCAACACTTTTTGAGCAAAAGAAAGCGTCAAGTAAAATAATTTTATTTCTTTATACAAGCTACAGGTTTTTAACCAAAAAATATCGGAAAATATCAATACAAAAAGCAAGAGCTGACAACCTTTGAGGACTTTCTGCCAATATTTTGCATTCTGGCGATGTGCACCTAATCAAAGAGAGCAAAAGCCAAATAATTTCAAATCGCAAAAACTTAAACAAATTTGAAACTAAGGCTGATCTCACATGAATTGACTTGGAAAATAATAAATTTGATTCTTTTTAAAATAACTGTCTTCTAAATTTTTTTTCGTTTTGAAAAGATCGATAATATCAAAAAACATTGATCAGGTACAGATATCGATCTTTTTCCAGCATTTTTTTTCAAGCTAATTTTATGTGTACAGGGTATATTGCAGTTTCACTGCGGCTACTGTTTTTTGGCATTGTTTAAGGCCATAATTTGCATCGATTGCAATGCGCACAGTGGTTCTAGTTAATCAGATTAACCGAGTTTAGTCAGTATTAAATTATTGAAATCGCTGACTAACAATATTTATACGTTTATGGTTACTGAACAGAGCGGCTTTTCGATATGATCCACTAGTGTCCAGATGCACATAAACTATTGCCATTTGAGCACAGTGCAAGCCATGAGTCTAGGGCGTGGTTTTTATCAGCTCCAGAGCCGGGCATAAAATGTAACATTGGCTCGCAAATAGTGTCCCTTGTCAGTGAAGGATGTCGCTGGGAATGTTTTGCGAATGCTCCTGCCAGCTGCACGAACGAACCGAAACAATATAAACAATATAATATGTATAATAGAATTGAAAGCTGTGAGGAAGGCGTCGAGAGTAAAGCACTTAATTGAGAGGCATTGAGAATTCTTGTTGCCTTTATGAATATGAATTAATTGCCACAATTAAGTGCCATATTGCGCAGGGAAATGCTGTTCAATATGCGTTATGCATATGCCTGTAGTTGCGTTGCCTAAGCTGTTTAATGTTTAGTTGAGTCAAGTTAAATATATTTTCATTTCCGGAGAAATTTCAGGAAATTCGCGACCAACACTAATCGAACTTAATCTAAAGTCTGCGATGATATCATATTGTATATATATGTATATATATGTGTACATATAACCCAGCTTGGGAATATTTTCTTCAAGTCAATCATTTTCTGTGCTCTCCAGGTGTGCTCGCCGTGTCACATATAAGCTAATGCATGTCAGCTCTATAAATCAACCGATTCCATGGTTGACTGATGCTACTGTTTGTTAGCCATAAATCCCGGTGAAACGTGTCGCACGTGGCATTTTAATCACACTCACAAGACTTAATCAGCGTATCCAAACATGCCGTATGTTATGTGTTATTTTATGATGTCCTACGTTCAATTATATTATAAATTACATTATTTATTTATATTTGTATATACTATATTTATTAATTTTCCAATTGTACAGAATGGTTGTGGACCCAGTGTTTGCTTGACATTTTCTACACAAACAAAAGAATTTGGCTTTATTAAATTGCGACGAAATTTATTTGTTATCTAAGCAGCAGAAGATAATATATATGTATATGCATATATCTATATACACGAGCATGTTTGGGCTATGTGTCAAAAATATGCACTTGTCGGAATTAATTTTGAAATTTACTCAGAAATTGCATTTGCGTTTTTCATGCTCATTCAAATTGACAGAAGGTCATATCTAAAAGCATTATAATTGTGAGCCTTTTATTACTTTCCCGCTTTTTCCACGTTCTCGCTATAATTTCACTCTCGATAATTTTCCACTATTCTGCATTGTTGATTTTCAACATCCTTGAATCTAAATATTCAATGTCAACAGCTTGACATTCATTTGAAGCATATGTCAGTCAACATTTGTGTGTACTATATCAAAATAATTACCTATAATTACCTATCATTGTTTAATAGAACATATAATAAACGCGTGATCACCTCCCCTTGCCCAAACGCCATCGACAAATATCGATAAATATTTATTAACTTTTATTTGTTGTTGTCCTTGCGAGCAATCTACAATCGAGAACTAAACTACGATTTGTTTTACATCGATTTATACTTTCGAAATTGGCTTAAACAAATGAAATTAACTAGAAAAGCGCAACACATTTAGCAGGCGACATGTTAACAAGGATATGACAAACAAATGACAACCACACGGGGGACTGTCTCTCTCTCTCTCTCTCTCTCTCTCTCTCTCTCGCTCTCTCTCTCTATATATGGGCCATTGAACAGCTCAATTAGATTTGACACAAGGCGTGGTCGTATTGATGCAATGAACTATTGACAGCTGACCTCAGCTATTGATTGCTGAGGTCACAATCGTGCGTTGCAATTTATACTCTTCGGATTGAATAATACAGCACAAATATTCTAGAAATATTTCTTAGTGCTTTTAATTTCTGGCCTTATCTTAATTAATTATATATTCAGCGCATTCTTATCAGTTCCACCTGATATTTACTCTGAATCGTATTTACCCAGATATTCAAATAGGCCGACGATAAGAGTCGACGCGAAAACAATAACAAAAATCTAGAATATGCATAGTAGGCAAATAACTTGATCGAAAATTTTCCAAATTCATAGTAAAATATCATAAAAATTTCCAGCCAGCTCAGCTGGCCTAATGTCAACAAATAAGTCAACAAATAACTTCTGCGTAGCTACAAATATTGTTCGATATGATACCCTGTAGCCCAAAATGAGGTCGTATAAGTTTGCATATTTGTGGAAAATATGTTTAAGAGCAGCTAGGAAGCATTTTATAGTCGATTTTACTACTCGCTTCTCTCTTTTCCAGCTCGAGGTACCTTAAGAAATGCGGCCAGATGGAGAAGTTTAATAGACATTCCTCGGGTAGAATCCGTTCAAATAACTCATAGCTACTATCGAAATTTCAATTCATCAACTAAGCAGTTTTTTTCTTTTTGTATCAGATAGTAAAAGTATGTGGCCAAAAACTGATTCTACAAACAATGGGCGGCATTATAATTGAGTGGCTTTCTATGAGTTGTAACATGGCTTGAGTTCAACTGTGCTCATATATCTTTTAAGTCTTGTGATACGATGATGGGCCATTATAATTAATAATAATAATTCGATTGCATGTTTGGCGAAAAACGACTTATAATTGATGTTGCCAACTGTCTAGCACTTGGCACATAAATAAAATATTATGTTAACTAAATAAATAAAAAGTTGGCGCTTGCCTTTTCAATATCAACAACAGCAAGAATTATTGTTTAACTGACATTGACCTCAATATTATTCCTTTCAGTTGTGCTAGCAAAGAAAATAGTTCACAGCCTGTTAAATATGTAAGCAGAACGCAGTTTTTAATTAAAGAACAAATTGTCTGTATCAATCAATATATAAATTTATCATTTATCACTTTTACTGTTGATTAGCGCCAAATACATATTTGAGTTGAAAATTCGCCAATATTTCAAATATCTCATGATAATTGTTTTTGACCCACAAGTGTCAATAATTTGACACTCGCACAGCTAATCAATTTAAAAGTATCTTTAACGTAATGCAATTTATGTGCATAATTATTTGTCATAAGGAAATACGCAACACCCTTAAAGTGGGTTAGTGGAAATGGAAAATACCCATATATCGCTTATTTTCGGGCAGCGACTGTCTATTTGTCAGCTGACCAAATAGGGTACACAACGGGGTCCAAACCAGTCAAAATGCCTAGGGATAAGACCGAACAGTAAAACAGCTGAAAATCCAAACAATCCAAACGAAAGCTGTTTGCTGTAGGCAGGCTCTCGAATACCCTAGAAAAATTGGCAAACAAAATATGCACTTAACACTATTTCTACCAAAACTTTTGTGTTTGCAGGAGAAGAAAATGTTTTTAAAATTAAAACTTTTTATTCCCTGAACCCATTAAAAATGGGTATAAGTGCATATTGTATTTGTGCGAAATCCAAATGTATATAACAGGCAGAAGAAAGCATCTCCGACCCCATAAAGTATATATATTCATGATCAGCATCAATAGCCGAGTCGATCTAGCCATGTCCGTCTGTCTGTCCGTCCGTATGAACGCAAGGATCTCAGAACTTATAAGAGCTAGAAACTTGAAATTTAGATGTAGATGCCTGCGCAGATCGAGTTTGTTTCCGATAATCGATAACTTACTCCGTTCCCAAGCAATCGATAAAAATCCATATCGATATCCTGTTTTTTGGGCAATTTTGGTAAATAAAAAGAGTTAAAGTCATCAAACTTGACATATAGCTTCCAAAATAGAATATATATGCATTTGATGTTGAAAGAAGAGGGTTCAGGGTATCCCCAAGTCGGGAGCTCCCTACTAGAACCTCTTGTTCTATTTTTTTTGTCCATTTTTTATGCTACCACTAAGTTGACTCAACAATCAATTAATGAATTATCAAAAAGTAAATTTAGAAAATATTAGAAATTAGAAACTAATGTCAAGTTAAAAATGGAAAGGTGTCTTTTGACACTTTTGCTAGAAATAGTGTTAAATTGACATAAATGTGTAAAAAATGCATAAAATGTGGTAAAGATCGTTTACTACAAATAAGCATATGAGCAGTCCAATCATATTACCCTGCCGGCCAAATGCCAGGGTATTTGACAATACAAATGTTTTGCACGGGCAGACAGTGCTGCGGGCTGCGACGCCGGCGTCAACAGCGCTGCCGAGCTGCAAAAATGTTATGCATTTTTTCCTTATTCAAACGAAAATTGTGTTTTCCTGTCAAGCCGGTTTTTCTTTTCATTATTGGACCACACCAGCGTCGACGTCGATGTCGACGTCTTCTCGTTGCCAGCATAAAAGCAAAACCAAACAACTTGCAATCAACGCCGAAGTTGTCGTTGTTGTTGTCGTTGTTTTTGTCGCTTTGCTATTTTTAGTTTGCAGCAAAAATAAAATAAAAAAAGTTGTCGAAACTTTGCTGAAAAGATTCGTGTGCCCCTTCCGTTATATGACTGACAAAATAGTACAAAAACAAGAAAAAAAAAAAATGAAGTTTTCAGCTTTGCATTTTAAGCAGTTTAACTAAAGGCTGAAGCTGTCCCTGCCCAAAGTTGCCTTCAATCAGGATCTGGGAATTTCAACAGCTGCCTGGCCAAAATGTATTTTATCATTTTAATGAATATGTTTTGAGTTAGTTTCAAGGAATACTCTGTCAAGTGGCCTTCTTAAACATTTGCAATGAGTTATATTCTTATTTTGCTAAATTCATTTTATTTAGCTTATATTTATTGAATTTGTTAACAAGTTGTTGGCAATTGCTGAAATTGCAATTTGAGAACAAAAAAATATACTTATAAATAAATACAAATATGAAAGAAACGAGCACATGCGCACACTTGGTACACAAATATTACAAATACAAATAGACAAAATCACAAAAAACTCAAAAGCCCGCAAGTATAAGATTTTAGATATATTTAAAGATTTATTTGTGTAATACGTGTGTGTGTGTGTGTGTGTGTATGTGTGTTTATGTCAAGGAACCGCGTTTATTTTAAACATATAGATTTTGAAGCATTTAGAAGATAATTGCAGTCTGTATTTATTCTGACCAATCATAGCAATAAAACCAATTAGATATCCGACTTGTTTGGGATTTTAAATTCTAGAGTTTTTTTATGACTCGTCGCTAATTAGCATTTAAATCAACAACAATTATGGTACTGTCGTAAAGGAAGTAAATATGCTCGTATCTTAAGAGCTTATCTCTTTAAATAAAACTCAAATTTTCACATAACATAGCTTATGTGATGCAGGTGCACGCTGAGACGGGGTCTCGGCAGATTCCACTCGCCTGGGTGGAAAAATCGCGGAAAACGTTTGAACGAGTCTTTTTACCATTGGCCTAAAAACTCATTTAAAAAAGATCTTTGTTAATTTGAGGGTTGTCTCGCATATATGCATATGCATGCATAAATGCGTGCATATATGCATGCATACACTAACACACACACACGTCCACCCACACACGCCAAAACCGGTTTGAATCTAGAATATTACATTTTATTTAGTAATGAAGGGCAGCTCCAATCGGTAATCAGAAATCTTAGGGAAAGACGAACTGAATCGAATAATATTTAAAATAGGGAACCTAAAGGCGAGAAGAGGTTCGAACCGTGAACCAATTAAGCGACAGTTAGTTGTTTAACAGTCATACATATAAGAAACATACTTTGAAATTCATATATGTAAAAGTATTTACACATTTTACAGTCACAATGCAATGTGGCTCAATCAATTGTGTAATACCTTTGAAGGTTTCGAGGCTCAAAGCAAGTCGAGACTGCAAGACGAGCGGCAACAAGGTGCAAGATGATGTTGCACGTTTGCCGTTTTGAGTTGCCCCTTCAGCAAGTTGAGGAGCGAGAGGAAGAAAAAGAGATAATTATAATAAATTGCATAATTTGCAAGTCGAGTCAAGTCATGATATTTAACTGTAGAAATTAGAGGAAATTCTCACGCAGCACAAAAGGTGAAGTAGTATTATAGTATCATCAACATAAGTGTATAGATTTATGCATATTCGCGTAGCCTTGGGGGAAATTTTCTAGGTTTTATTTTAGCGGGGCACACACCTTGAAAGGGGGTGGCATTCACACTTTCACCCCACCAATGACCTATATTTGTTGTTAAGGCCGGAAATATTTTCGCTTCGTTTAGCGCCGAGTTAAAACAGTAAGCAACACATATTGGCTGGCTCTCAATGCGTATGAGTAATTTAAATGAAATTACAAAGTCGCCGCGTTGCACCGAGTAGCCTCCAAATTAAGATAGAAAAACAAAAATAACCACACATTGTAAATAGGTATATACAGCAGCAAATTGTATTAATTATTTGTCTATTCGCAACGCACTCCCGACTTAAACAAGTTTCGATGCACATGTGCATTGGAAGGCGATTTCCAGTAAACAATAAAAAACCATCTACAAGCCCGCTAAAAAACGTCAGCAATATCGCTGAATGCCAGCAACATGTCTCGGCAACATTTGTTGCAGCATCATGTTGATATGTTATGCGTATCCAGAATATACTGCATAGATTAAAATTATGTTTTAACTTAATGAGTAAATTGTTTTAGAAAATGAGCAGAACGACAGTTAGCTGGGATACGTAAAATAAATATGAATAATAAAAAGTAAACAGCTGAAAAATGTATAAACAATCTGTAAGCTGCGCTTAAACCTGCCAACAAAAACAAGTTTATGTTTATTGAAGCACATGGCGACGCGCCCAGAGAGCCAGAGCTCCAAACACAGCGAGAGAGTGAAAGAGAGCGAGAGAGTGGAAGAATGAGCTCAAAATAGCAGCGAAGTCAGTCAGTGCTGCCCGACAAACAAAGAGACTACACACAGTGGGCACACCCATATTCAGTACATATAGACGCAGCCTGTATGCAGTTATTATAATTTTATTTATACTCACGTTCCACTGTGCAGCGACAATAAATAGCATAATTTACACAAGAGCGTCGGCAGTGACAGAAACGGCAGCAGCGACATCGTCGTCGACGTCGACGTCGACGTCATCGGCAGCGTCAACCAAAGATCGTATTCGTATTCGTTGGTGTTCGGTTAATTTTTGTGTTGTTTGTGTTTTCCTGAGTGTTGTCGCTGCTTTCTGAGACACATGCACGTTCGCTTCACGGTAGAAATTTTCGATCAGTTTAAGTTTTTCATTTGCAACGAACACAAGCAAGTCGCTCCGAAGCGCGCCAAAACGAAACAGAAAAGTGTCAGCAAACTCTTATTTTGCAAAGCCCGTCCAAGCGAAAAACGCGCGCGCGCGAACTTATTAAAAATAAAAGAAGAAACACAACACAATACCGTAAAACGGCTACGTGCTAAACAAAAAAAAAAAAAAAAAAATACAGAAATAAATGCAAATACGGGCTTGAATGTGCAGCCACCGCGTCAAATATTGTAAATTGTTTAAAACAATACAAAACAAAAAAAT